ATGAAACATCAATTAATTAATTGAGTACCCTTCTCATGAAATAATTAAAATATCAGGCTCACTAAGTATAAAGTGCATTAATTCATTTAATTCATTTGAAACTAAATTTAAAATTTGTGATGATTGATTGAACAACATAATAGGTTCAAATGAACTCAACACATTTCAAAAGGATTTAAAGGTTGTTAGGGATTTCTCCCCATAACACTTTTATGACTTTTTGAATATTTTTGAAGGACAATTGAACTTATTATTCTTTGCTCAAGAAAATCATTCATTAAAACATTTAGGGACTCATCAAGTCCTGACTTGGGGTTTGGTAACTACACCTTCAACTGATCTTCTTTTTTTCTTAGTCCTGCAAAATCATATATATGCTGCAAAAGCTAATCTTTCAGCAGGAGCAGGAGTGCGAGAAGATGACAGACACGCATTTACATTTGGTAATGCAAATTTTGTTTTCTTTACAACACTTTCTTGCTTTACCTGTTTACTTTGCTCTGCAAAACTTGAAACAAATCTCCATGAGACATCAAAAACACAAAAGTAACTTTTTCAAAACCAATCAACTCTTTTTTTCAAAATTAATAAAAAATTTTCAAAATAAAATTAAACCCTTCCAAAGATAACCATAATTTTTTTTGAATTTACGGGAGTCCCTCGAATGAGGTAACCAACGGTTGCTAACGAGATCTCCCCTATTTAAATGGGTTTAACAACTCGTTTAAGCTAAGTAAATTCAAAAAAAAAAATAATGATACCAGAACGAGGGAACCGTGGGATCCTAACCGATGTCGCCCTAATCAACTTTAACCCCCCCTCTCAATAATGGTTGAACTGAATTTGTCATTTAAACCTTTGAACCTTTAGACTTTAGGACTACTACTTCGCTGAGGAGCTTGGAGCTAACTCTGTGAGCAGCCTTCTACAACAACAAGTGAATCTACAACAACAAATTCCCTTAGAATAAAACAAGTCATAGGACTTCGAGGTTGTCCGTCTAGTGCGACGTAATTCCTCAACTCATCTTTAGGTTTTTGCATGATCATGTCGTGCAATCTAAGCCCTATCTAGTTTTAGAATTTTGAGATTATTATTCTTTACGACATAAACCCTCCTATCTTTCAGGCTATTTGTATGATTGTGTCATGCAAATGTAAGCCCTAACTAACTAAATTAACATGATGAAATACTCAATAATTTTCTTTTTGAAACTGAAGCAAAAAATGTGACAACTTTGGAAGTCATTGAGGTTCTCCTCAAGATCTATGAGACCCCCTAGTTTCCTTCCTTTGGATTTCATAATAATGTTCCAAATTTGAGCCTCTCCCATTTGACACTTATTGGTCCGATCTTTGAAAAGTCCTATCCTTTGGAATTCTTGGAGACAATATTTTCTAATCTAAATTGAGATATTTCTTAAGTGACCTCGATCATTTAAGATGTAATTAACTATAAGGGGTTGACTCTATATGGAGCTTTAAGAACCCGGGTAATATAAACCTTACCTAATCTTCCATTTTAGGTAGAGGAATTTGTCGGTCAAAATAAAAATGATTTTTTTCAGGCTAAAACAGATGTCATAAATTCTTTAGTCTAAAGAATTGAGCACCACCAACAAGTAGTCTATCTATCCTTTGAGGCAGATATATTGCTTGCGGTGTTGTGCCCGTTCATTTAAACAATTGCAGATATGAGATTAGTTCGGTATTGTATTTTCAAAAACTAAAATATTAATTTTCTAAATTATATATATATATATATATATTAAAAATCAAACATCTTTTAAAATCGGGCGTCAAGATATCCATTTCGGAGACCGACAATTTCTAATTTGGCAACCAACAATTTTCTTGTGACTTCGCTGGGGAATAACTCTACTCTCCATTATGATCAGAAAATTTTGTTTTCATATATCGGTAATGTGTTCATGTCCCTCATGAACCATATTACCCTCCTTCCGTTGACATGTTTTGATTATTTCTTTCTTGGGCAAGTACAGTCAACTCTTCTGGATTCCAGGACCGTCTATATAACCATCTTTAAACAGAGAGGTTCAAGAGCCCTTTAGGAATTTACCTTTTTGTGTGGGGTCGGACCCCCAATAGGTGTGTTGGTGGACTAGTTCCGCCAGGGCGATGTGCATTATGAAGTTGGTTCTTTACTGGGTCTTAAACTTCGCCATTTCTGCGTATCTTTCGGGTTTGGTTTACTATTCTACAAATCAAGCCAATTTGTTACGTCTCTTTGCCCTCGTTTAATTTTTTAATTGAAACTATTTAATGCTATAATCATAAATAAACAATAAATTTAAAAATTAAAATAAGAAAGGACGTACCCAGTTCATAGAATGACCTTTGTCAATTTTTAGTGTTCGCAGTGAAATTACAAAGTGATGGCCGATACTAACCCTCAGAACTTTTTCTTTGAGGCTGCTACGATGGTGTTCCCAACTCTCACCATCTCCTGCAATTTGCCAACCAACTGCAATGCCCGCAACATCGCCCCCACGATCAAGTTTGGTGTCGGATATAATAAACTTGAGGTTATCCTCGGAAAAGCCCCATTTTTCATCATGAAGGTTGCCTCCCCAGAAGTACAAGAACCATCTGTTGAGTTCAACTTGAACTGCCTCCAAGATTTCCCTTCTTGCAAGAAGGCGAAGGTCACCGTCCTCCTGACATCTTTTAAGTCTGCATTCTTGTGCTCGTTCGCTTGAGAGTAGTTACACTAACTGCCGCTGGATTCACTATTACCGTGCCCGCCGTACCGTCTGTCAAGGGAAAGGAAAAGGAAGTTATGAGTATAGAAGATCCGATTGACGGATTTACTACCCCGTTGTCAATATTTGAGATTGGTTCCAATTTGAAGACTGTACCATTAACCAGACCACAAAAAAACAACTGTAGCTGATGGATTCAAAGGACTTTTTAAGGCCCAAGTTACAGAAATAACACCCGTTGATGAGATTCCTCACCAAGAGGAACTTGGATTGCCTGAGACCTCTCCTCTCCTTCGAGGGAGTAGGATTCATCCATTGATGGATACCATCAGATATGAGAGAATTCATAGGATTACTGCTGCTCTGTCATTACCCCATGGTCATGGTGAGGGAAGGGAGAAGCACACTCCTATCACCATACTTCGTACATTATTTGAAAGATTGACTGCTAAGGAAGGGTGTTCAGTCACTGAGTTACTCAAGCTGGTAGGATGCGCAATATAGCCTTGGATGAAGAAAGAGATTGTGAAAGATGTCAGAGCTGCCTGTCAGCCCCAAAGATCAGTTGAGGTTCCGCCAGCTTGTATTCCTATTAGATTCCGCCTGAGAAGCTGAGTAAGCACCGTTTCAGATACCGCTGCTATTGCTCCAGGCCATGTAGGACATCAACTGATCAAGTGACATCTGGGTCCAAGAATACTACCTGTTCTTGTTCATGAATATGTTCCGAAGAAAGATAAGGGGAAGAAGTCACTCGATGAAGTACTTGGTCTGCACCGCATGGAGCATGCCTTTCTTCGACATAACGATACCTCTGTCGAGAAACTTCGTCTTAAGATATCATCGTCAAAGAAGAAGGTATGGATACCCAAGGTTGTCACACCAATACCATTTGACGAGCCCGCAGGGCGAGTTTGTGGAATGAAGCAAAGGTCTGAAGTATCAAATGTTGTCTCGTGGGCTCGACTTCTAGGGGCATGACAGCTTCTCATCGAATCTTACCACTTGGGCTTGACTTTCAGGAGTATCGTAACTTCCCATTGAGTCTTTCCTATTGGGCTCGACTTATAGGGGCATGGTAGCTTATGATCGAGTATTGCCTTCTGGGCTTGACTTTCAGGAGTACCGTATCTTCCCGCCGAGTCTTGCATGTTGGGCTCGACTTCCAGGGGCATGGTAGCTCTTTTTCTCAAGGGGGCTTTCTATATAAAAATTCAAGGTGTCTCCTCTTGCTTACTTCTCTTATTTTATCTATGCGTGTTGAATTCTTGTACAAAGCTAAAACTATAATTTGTTACCATACCACCGCAGATTTACAAGCACGCATCAATGCTATAAGAATGATTGCAGTAAGAGAGCTACCACTTTGTTAGCATGATGATAAAAACTATTGAATTTCTAGTTTGACTTAATGTGCTAAATGATTTAAATCAAGAGCTTTCTGAACAAATCAACGAGTAAAAAAAAAGTCGAAGAGACAACCACAATTCAAGAAAATAACCGTGCTATTAAACAAGGAGATCTCTACATGTATAAGCTTCGAGCCCTTAACAGCCAAGGAAGAATAATTCAAAATTTATAAGCTTTAATAAGCCAAGTTAGAAATTGCAAGTCTGTCATGGCTCAGGCTTGAGTATGACCCGAGCAAAGTCTAAACATGATTTAGACATGGCTCGTGCAAAATTTCAACAATATTCAAAAATGATTTGCAGAAGTTGCAATATAACGAGCATTTAAGATTTGCTTGCTTGCTTTTATGAGTAGAATCATATAATTGACTAATTTCGCAATTAACTGACAAGTTTTCATAGTCGAAACAATTAGGATTTAGCTCTAGCATTTCCTTACACTTTTTTTGTCTACATTATATTTTACGTACATTTGTTTTTGTCTGTCAATATGTTATAAGGCATGAAACATCTCATTCTAGTACAAAGTGTTCGGGCTACATATGAGAAGAGAAAGAATTTGTGTGACAAAACTAGCTTATAAAAACAATGAATGATCAAAGATGTGAGATAAAACTTGTTAGGTTCAAATGATAGAATTAGAACAATTCAACTTTTTTTCAAATTTTTTTTTTCTAAAGTGTTTCAAAGGACAATTTATGAAAATAAGTGGGATAATTTCCTATCAAATAAACTTTCAAATTAATTCTTTCAAGAAAATAATTGATGAATTTATCTTTCAAGTTTTAACTATAATGAGACATATAAAATTAAAATTTTTAAATAAAGATCAATATTTCATTAGGCCTATTTTAGCATAGGTTGATCACGAAACGTTTGCCTCAAGCTTGCGTTAGTGATTTGTGTTCATGTCGACAACCCCGGTGGGTTCACTCCAGGTGTCGTGAACCTTTTGATTCTCACTGACTCTCGCAGCCACCGTCGCCAACTCCGGCGATCTCGCCTTCAATAGCTTCTTTGGAAACAGAGGCGGCCCGGAGCCCTATAAATCAGATTCCTTTCCTAGTGATCTTCGCTTTCTAGCCTTCGACAGGCCTTGAAGTTTAATGGCTGGCAACACTATCCATCGGACCTCCAGCGCCCCTATGAAAACAATTCTCCCCCCTCAAGAGCTCCTCGACGATCTCTGCAGGTTAGTCTATTTCCCCGCCTTTGTCTCCACTTTCCACGTTTTTTTCGATATTTACGTTTCAATTTCAGCGAGTTCTTTGATTCTTTGATGAAGTGCTTGCTCTATGTTTGCACCTTTATTTAAATGAGAAGGATTGTGCATGGCTCGAATTTGAATGTTTCTGTGAAGTTTCCCATGACAGCAATGATGATTTCTCAACAAGACACCTGTATCTTGTCCCAGAGATTCGAAACTGCGATAAATGGTTCACTGTGAAGCAATTGACAAGGGGCATGTCGACTCATCTTAAATTTTATGCTTCAAAATTTATCTCAAGATCCTAAAGTCATTAAGAGATTTTGGAATGTTCGTATTCCAACTTTTTTGACCTAGTCAGATTGTTGTGAGAAGTAGGATAAAATTATCAGGATGTCATTTGTAAATGACGCGCTACAAACTTAATCCATTGTAGTGAACAGAAGGAAACTTTAATTAGGATATTGCTTTCAAATGATGTATCAAAACTTATCCCATTTGTGATGAAAAGTGTGAAAGAGTTGTTGATCTATAAAATTAAGCCTAATTTTGCTGCATGTTATTCTATGGCTTTTAAGGTAAGCCAAGATATGTAGTGGGGAAAACAATTAGAAGAAGAATCGACATCACTTTTTTCCAAGAACTAAATGGAAAGTGAAGCAATGACTGAATTCTAGGTGAAGTTATAAGATATTTATGTCAAGCGGGTTAACCAAAAGAGTGAAGTCGATATAATTGTGAATATCGAGTCAGAAGATAAAGTGTTTTATGTTAATAAAGGTATTAAAATGGTGATTGTTACTTATGCTCTTCAAGTTGAATTTGAAGGTAGTTAAAAAAGAAAAAAAAAAAGAAGACATGGATGAATTATTATAAAACATGTTTGTTGAAGTGAGTTGAGGCAATTTAAATAAGCATATATATATATTCTATTGGATAATATATGAGAGGATTTATGGTCGGCATGAACTGATTTATGATTGAGAAGTTGTATGATTAAGTACCATTTGAACTTATTTATGTGTGAAATTAGTAAAGTTATATATAATGGAGCTTTGATTAGTATTAAAAATAGTTGTAGAGGGACTACAAAGATCTTAATCATGATAGATTTATGTTAATGATCAAAATTAATGCCTTTTTTATTCTATTGATTATTGAGATCCACATAAAAGATATTCATAGAGAAGCTTTTTATAGGTGATATTTCTAATTGGTGATACCCTTATTAAAGTAAATGAAAATTTAGAATTGTGGAGAAAATCATAGAAGATAGAGGAATCAGTTGAATAAAGACAGAATATATGATATGCAATCTTAGTCGACGTGGTAGTACTAAGTCTAGAAGATAAAATGATATTTTGTTGTGATTTTTTTTATCTCTTGTATTTATTTCAGAGAGTAATGTGGATATAAATAATGATATAATTTTGAGAGCTAATATTGAGTTGTTAAAATGGAGAAGCGCCTTATGCATCTTACTCGATTAGAATACCATGAGAAGAAAGTTTTGTTTTATAAAACTATAATTAGTTAAATTTTGTTTTATGGATTTGAGTGTTTATTAGTAAATAACTTATCAATAAAGAAGTCGAGCTCGGCAAGAAATGAAAATATTAAGATGGTTGCGTTACAAAACTATGAATGATAGATTGAAAAATGACTATACATGAGGGAGAATGTGAATAACATTTAATATGGTGAAAATTGAATTAGGTGGTTTTGCTTTGTATATGGAAGGGTAGAAGACACACTAATAAGATTTATTCATGAAATTCATGTAAAATAATTGAAAACAAAAATGAATTAGCTTTATGATACCTTGTACATAATCCCATAAAGATTTTTACAATTTTTTTAAGTGTCCAAGGGCTAGTGGAGTCTTCAATGCTAGTACGTGTATTTGACACTTTATTATTCGTCAGTCAAGTTATCATTTATCATTTACATAATTTTACTCTTCAACTTTCCTCCTCAAGCTTTCATGATTAATAATTCATCAACAAATTGTTATCCTCAGCCACGAACGTCGAAGCATCTTGAGCAAGAAACATTTCAAATTCAAATTTAAGACCATTTGGCAAATTTATAATTAAATTGAGCTTGTTGACAAGATGAACCTAATGATGTTGAAAATGATCCAATCCGAGTTTAAATCAATCAAGATTGAACACTTAAAGACTTTGATGCATCAGTTAGAATGCCAAACAATATTAAAATTTGACATGCTTATAGTCAAATCGAGTATCTTGATCTGAATAATCCAACGAGTTGAAAACTATTCAATTTTGATGTCATTAAGACACTTAAATGTTGAAAAAATTAACTATGATCAAATGAATCAATGTAAACTGTCTGATAAAGTTCTTTGAGAGATTTATCATATTTACCGAAATGCCCCTCTTAAAAACTATAGATATACCCCTATTCTGCACTTGAGAGGGGGGAGGAGTGAGGAGAGGAGAATAGTGAGCTCACTACTAAAGCTTAACTCTTGAAGTCCCGACAGTTGTTGCCAACCACCATAATCCACGGCCAACTACCAGAGTTTGCTTTAGACCACCACCAACATTTGCTAGAGCCAAATATGACTATTATAACCTCCAACTACAAATGTTTTAGCCTTTTACTATGGCATATGCCTCCAACTACAGCTTTTGTTAACACCAACTATAGCTTTTGTATCCAACTATGAATATTATAGCCCAACCATGAATTTTGAAGTCAGACTTAAAATTTATAAACAAATTATCTTTTTTAAAATTATATCTGTTTGGTTATTATTTTGATTTCAAGGTTATCTTGTAATCCCATCTTCTCTAATTTAGGTGAAGATTGGACTCTATACTCTTGATTACATAATGGATTATTGTAATTGTCATACCCCATGGTTTTTTTTTTTTTCTTTTCAGGTTTTTTTCATGTATTTTCATGTAAAAACCCTTGAGTTCTTCTCTTGTTACTTTTCTTTTATTTGTATGTGTGTTGGATCTTTGTGCAATGCTATAACGTTAAATTATCACTTAGTCACTGTGAATTTTCTAGGACACAACAATGATGATAACATTGATTGTAACACATAATGGGGAAGGCACATGCCCCTTGTTTCCAAAATTTCTATCACTGTAATTGGGACTTTCTTCTAGAGTTTTTATTGGCTTCAAATCTCATTGAGTTAATGACGCATGAATTTCTATATCTGCATGTACTCTTTTATTGCTGCAGCTTAAAATATTTAGCTAGATACTTTGCAAAAAAAATTTGTATTTCACTACTATATGGTTATTTTGTTCCTTTACTTTCTTATTTTAAGGATTTACACCTGAATCTAGTAAGTTAGACGACTGCTGGGATGCTACATCAACACCAAGGTCTTCACTTTATGTTGAAACTTGCCATTGCTTATGTTCCCTATTTTTTTATTTGCAACAAAGGTGGGTATAAAATGAATCATCTGATTAAGGGGACCTTTGCAAATGCAAATTAAGCCACTATGACCCAATGCTAAGCCATTGAGTTTTGATGAAATGAAAATTTTAAATATCAACTAATAATTTCTAGAAAAATCAGTCAATCACAAATCAGTTAAATTTGAGAACAATTATCAAGAAAATTACTATTTTAAATCCACATGCATGTTGTATTCCGACCAAAAAAAGCATCATTACTCTTAAATATTGCTTTGCAAAAGGGAGAGATAACACAAAATCTGATATCAAGCCTAAATTTTGCCATAGAAATTGTTTTGGCTACTCTATTAGAGCAAATTTTTTTTTCATACATCATATTTTAGGATTTTTCTTGTTCTTTATCATCTATTATTGTCATTGAAAAGTTTGCATCTCTTGCAGCCGGTTTGTTTTGAATGTTCCACAAGAAGATCTGGAGTCATTTGAGAGGATTTTTTTTCTTCTTGAACAAGCACATTGGTTTTATGAAGACAATTCAGTGGAACAAAATCCAGCCCTGAAGTCGCTTTCCTTCAAAGAGTTCACATCTTTGATTATCCAGCTCATTAACTTATATTTTTTCGTCATGAATACATCCTAATTTCCAAGATGCACTGCTAGTGTTTATCATCTTATTTTTTTGGTTCATATATGGAAATGCAGATTAATGTGAAATATAATAATTAATCCTTACTCATAAATGGCATGATCTCAAGTGAAATTGGATACTAATACGATGCAGATCATATTCATGAAAAAAAAGGATGTCGAGGTTATTGTAGATAACAAAATTTACATTACCAAATTCTTTTCAGAGCAATGATAACTATCAATATTTAATTACCATTTCATTATAATAGATGATATTTAAATTGTGGGAAATTTTCATGATTTTGGTCTAATGTAGCTTTTCAAATATAATCTTATTATTTATGTGTGAAATGACCACTCATGAATTATCAATCAGTACAAGAAATGCGAGTGATTGCTTATCGGCATTATTAATATCATCACAACAAGCATAGTTCTAACTAATTGGGCTTGGTTTAATGAATCCTTATTTTCTATTGTTTTTCGTTTAGTGTTGCATAAGATGTTAAAATCTATTATTCACAACGTCTTTAAACACAACTTCTTCTATTGGGTCTATCCAATTCTTTCTTAATCTTTCAACCTGAATTTTGTTTGTTCATTTGATCAATTCAATTTTTACATTTCTGTTTTTTGTTTCCAAACCATTTAAGTCTATTTTCAACTACTTCACCTTCAATATCTACCAACCCATTCTTCTTGTTATACAATCTTTCGTTAATTTATATTTGCTAATTTTTTATACATTGGTTTGTCTTGATATTCTTATTTCCTCTTTGTTTCATTGACCTTTTTTGTTTAAATTTACCTTTAAGTATCCATAGTATCCTTTGAGTTTCCATAATTCTTTCAAACGAAAGGTTTGTGGTCTATTTGAAGCCACATTGCAGATACCTCTTCTAAATACTTTCATGAAAAATAATCATAACACTAACATGTATCGTCCATTATGGTAATTAATGATAATCAAACCGTTTCACAATAGCTGGAATCACTTGCTTTCTTTTAAGCTTGGTTGGCTTAGTTGCTGTTCCCGATTGTCAGGTAATGACAATCTGCCCTACTTTTTCCAGTCTTATACTTAGGTGGTATAATTATAAAAAAAAATATTACTTTAGGTGTTAAATATGTAAATAAATAGAATTTGGGTGGTATGCATGTAAAGTGTTACATATTTAAATATAAGTATTAACAAAGATTTGTAATTCAAAACATGTTTTCTTTGTAAATAGAATTCTTGTAATGATTTATTATTTTTAAAGGTGGTTTGAATGAATTATTTTTAGTTTAGTAACTTATATCAAAATTAAGAAGCTATAAATATAATTATTTTGTATTTAAAATTCATATAAATATCTATTTTTTAAAATTTTAAACTAGAGATGAATAAATTTAAACTATATCACACATCTTCATTTTCGTACGACTGACACTTTATTTTCATTTGTTCTACTTTGGATTGAAAGATTTTTTCTTTTGAAGTAATTATTTATTTATCACCAATGCACTTGTTAAGCTTACATTACAAGTTGTGAGATGTAAATATGAAGGACGACGGAGCAGGGAACCAGGACTACATCACGGGTGGAACTAGGTTAATCCCACATGGTGAGTTAGACAAAAGTTTTTGTGAGAAAAGTTTTTTAAAAGAGGAAGGGAAGAAATTTTTTGACAAGGAAGTTGTGCGGTGTGGATGTGTTGTGTGAAATCCAAAACATATACATTAAAATAAATTTTTATTTTACTAATATTGATTTAATTAATTAACTCTTTTGGCCATGTTTGAATTAAATTCGAGTTGAACACGAGCCTAATTCGAACAAATAAATTTGAATCGAGCCCAACACGAATAAGCTTCTAACAAACTATTTCGAACACGAACAAAAAAATAATTGAACAGGCAGGACACAAGCAAGCCTTAGGCTCGCTCAAGCTTGCCTTGTTTAGATCCCTAGGGCTTGGATAATAAATCATGAGCAGGTGCAGGGAAATTGTAATAATTGGGCTAGCATCCCACGAAGGAATTGATTCTAAGGCAGGATCCATAGTTGGTTCGAAGTTTAAAATACAAATTATATCAGAAGCAATCAAAACTACGACCATCGCATTAGAAGACTTTTATTTCGATTGAGATTCTCTACTGCCATGATTTTGAAATTTTGTAGCTCTATGTATGCCTTGAAGCATTCTGAAAAATTTTGATAAAATATTTTGCAAGAAGAACAATAAGAAGGAATACTATCAAACTCAATCTTCTGACAATATCCATTACATGTGAAATCAAGTTAAATTGGTTTCTCTAGAGCGGTAATAACATACAATTTGACGGTAGCAGCATCCACTTGAAGTTGTTTACCAAAAATTAACCATAAATGTGGATTAACAATCTCAAACAGAAGTACTAGAGGGTTGCACAAAGCAATCAAAATGAAGTGACTACAAACATACGTATTTGGAACCATCCATTTAGTATATTATCCAAGAAAAGAGTCTAGCAATTAGATTTTTTGTGATAGTTTGATAAAAATATGAAAATAACTGATAAGTCCAACATTATTATAATCCCTAATCAAATGCAGTCCCGATTGTAATATCTAAGACACCTCCAATTTGGGATTGATCTTAGAGAAATGTGTTACCGAAGTAGTGAAAAAACGACAAAGCCAATTCAAAAATTATATGCGGATTGATTTATCTTGAAAGGAGGATGGTAGCATGTGAGGAGTAGTTTCAGGTCCTTGTCGAGAATGTGTGGGAGAAATAAGTGGAATTAATCATAGGATCGTGATCCTTGTTCTCCCCTAACAGCCTTAGCGAAGGATCAGGGAATGCACAACAGTGATCTTATAGAGGGAGAAGCCCTATGAATGGGAGCATTGATAGGATAGCAGTTGTTAACATAGATGGAATGGGCCTTGGGGAAAGAGTAGGAGTGAGATAGCATGCCTTGGAAGCAAGAAGTGAAGCATAAATTGATAAGAATTGAACTAGGCAGAAATAGCATGGGTGTTATCCTTGGCTCTAAATTTGAAAACGGCGTGATCAACAATATAAAATTTTTTAATAGAAGTTCCAATTTCAGACCAGTGTTCAGAATAGAATGATGCTGGGAGACACAGGGAGGTGCAGTTGCATTGGGACGTGCTGGTGGGGTGAGTTGGGCATGAGCTGCAATGGGACAATAGGACGCACAAGGTCACACTCATAGGAAGCATGTAAATCTCTTGCACATGAAGTAAAGCGTAAATTGATAAGAATCGAACTAGGCAGAAATAGCATGGTTGTTATCCTTGGCTCTAAATCTGAAAACAGCATAATCAACAATATAAAAAAATTTTAATAGAGGTACCAATTTCAGGTCAGTGTTCAGAAACGAATGATGCTGGGAGACAGAGAGGCGCAGTGGCATTGGGAGGTGCTGGTAGGGTGAGTTGGGTATGATCTGCAATGGGACAATTGGACACACAAGGTCACACATATGGAGCATGTAAATCTCTTGCACAAAACGTGCTTACATGGAGGTTGGAGAATTTCTTTATGATGAGATGCTTTCAGGTTTAACACCTAATATATTTTACTATTCAGAAAGCTTTTTTTTTTTTTTTGGTTAAAATATCTTAGCGTAATTTAGTTTTATAATTCAACTCCAGAATTACCATCGTTTTAGGAGTGGGGCATTGCACTTCCAATTATTATGCATTGACATTTTTAGTTCTACTTTTGAAACTTTTCTATTGTATTTGATATTTCTTTGAGAGATTGAAATACCCATTCATTCCAAGTACCTTTTATCATGTGAACATTGCAGGTTGCTTCTAACTGAGTATTCTTTATGCAATACTTTATTCTTCACCTGCCTATGAACATATTAGTTTATTTTTATGATTGTTGCTTTCAGTAACTGAATGCTAATATCTTATTCTTGATGGATATGCATTGTTGTCATTCATTAGATTGCTTGAGAATTTCTTTTTTTCCCAACCTTTCTTTGTCTTATTGTCTTCCTTAATGGTTCATAGTGTTTAATAATTGTGCTGCTTTAAGACCATATATCAATCATATTGATGACATCTACAAGGACTTTACTACCTACAAGTTTCGAGTTCCAGTTAGTGGGGCAATCATATTAGACGAGTCTTATGAAAGGGTTAGTTGATCTGATCATGAAAAAACTTTATTCTTCATTTCTTTTCATAACTTTGCTAATCTGTCTTTTATAGTGATCTCCGGGTCCTCAAGTCTTAATTAATTCCTTGACATAGTGATTCATACTAGAGGACAGAAAAAGAGAAAGACATAGGAATACGGGAACTGCATTGATTTTCCTATTTTTTTTATACTGAAATTATAACTTAGGCATTCATTCATTAACGCAAGTCTTATGTTGTTTGCTTTCTTTGGTCACAGATAACCATGTATGAATTAAGACAAAAATGTTAACTTGAAGTCTTGAACTATGTAGTGCCGTTAAGTTTGATGTGGAGCATTGTGTTTTTTTCTTATGTAGTTAGCCTCTCAGATTATTTAAGTTTCATTCGATGATTGAATTGAGTATCAAAGTATGTCAAACTTTGGCATGTGTAGAACTCATCTTAGAATGAGTCTGAAGAAAAGAGGGACTACTTCTAGGTCAATGGAGGATCTTAAATAATAAATATTAAATTTATTCAGAGGACTTTAAGGACACTTGATAGAGCAACTATGCAAGAAGAGACATGTGAGAGAATAAGTTTTTCTTTTTAGGGTGGGGATTGATTGTAGGTTTTGGAGGGTGAGGATAGTAGGTCTGACTACTTACATTGTCAACCTGTAACTATGTTCTTTTAAACTATCATATTTTCTTTCTTTTTAAATTCCAGCTGTTCTTTTCATATTTTCATTTCTAGATCCTGTTTTATAGACCCTTGTGGAATAGACAATATGATCCTTTAATTAGCTTTGTATATCATTATGCTTAGTTCTTGTGGAACTCATAAGAAGCATTAGACCTATTCTATGTATTCATTTATGTCGAGTATATTTACATATGTAATCTCTTTTGCAGTGTTTACTTGTCAAAGGTTGGAAGATCGGAGCTAGTTGGAGCTTTCCTCGTGGTAAAAAGAGCAAGGATGAGGAAGATCATACGTGTGCATATCGTGAAGTAATTTCTAATGACAATTTCCCAAATTATCTTCTTATCACATAAATGATGCTTTAGTACAACAATGTAATGTATTCCTTGTTGTTGGACTCGTGCGTGAAACTGTGGTGTTAGTTAGGATATAACCTTTTTTTTAGGAAAGTTCCCATCTTGTTGGTGTTTTCATTAAAATTGTTTGTCTTGATTCACTATTATATCTACAAGCAATTATACTTTGATAAACCCCTACATATTATCATTTTTCAGTCCTCCTCCCAAATTTCTACTGCAAGATCTTGTGATTTGCATGCTAAACTAGCTCTCATTGGCTTCAATGAAGTTGGTGTCAAGTCAAGCTCCTTCTTGGCAGTTAGAGAGAGTTGCGATGCTAGTAGTTCTAAGCTTCTTCTGTAGTGGAAGGGCTATTATTTCTTCATGACGTTCCTCTTCCCATGGTGCCTCTATCTGATGGCCAAACTTAGTTAGGCACATCTATGACCAGGAGCTTGACCATATTAACATGGAGGCATGGTGTGCCTCATAAGCAAAGGTTTCTTTGAGTAAAAAAAAACACTTTTTTTCATACCTCGCCTATAAAATAAGAGTAGTTTATGCTATAAAAGTATTTAATAATTATTTTTAAAAAAATATTAGGATACTCCAAAATTTTACCTGATAAGTCAGATATTGATCTTGTTGGGAAAAGCTAGAACCATCACTTAGGATGGGTGAACTCTTTTCCTTACATCAAGCATTTCTAATTTTAAAGATGTCTATTTAGATTTTAGAGAGGTCAAGGCTCAAATTGTATTCGCCTTTATGATTTTTCATTGATGGTTGAGTCGAAGCATGTGAATAAGGCATGTCATGCATTCTATCATTGGCTGAGGAAAATATAATGATCAATTTGTTCTTCTCTTTTTTTTTCCTTTTTTTTTCTGTCTTCTCAACCATCTTGTTCTTATTCTAGAGTGCCCATTTCTTCTTTGGTTTTGCATATTGTTTTTTTTACTATTGTTTTTCTTCTCTTGACCTTCTGCTGTCATCTTTTTTGTCCTTTGCCAAACAAATAGTTTGACTCAGCTCTAGGCGTGTAGTTCAGTGAAGCCAACCTGTAAACTTGTTTGAGCTTGACTTGATAAATAGTTCTTGAGCTAAGCTCGATGGGCTAACAATTCAAACTTGATTCAACCTCAATTCAATTAATTAGCTCGTGAGCTAACTATTTTAAAAATTTTAAATATAAAATTCTCTTAAAGTATAAAATGTTTTTAAATTATAAAGTTAAAATATTTAAAAGATTAAGTACCAAAATAATCCCTTAACCATTCATATGTTGCCAATTTAGTCTCTTGATTATACCAAAAAAATGATTCAAAATGACCCCCTCATGTAGAAATTGTGATACAAAATTGAGTCCAATTTAAACCATAGACTATACAAAGTCATAGCTATTTAGTCTTTGAGGGATCATTTTGAATTAGTTTTGTATAGTCGAGGGATTAAATCGGAAAAGTGTGATATGCTGAGATTAATGGACTATGCACTATCAGGTAAGAGACCATTTTGCGATTTAACGCAATTTAAAAATTATATCGTTTATATTATATTACGTAATTTTGTATTATTTCTCTTTCAAGTTGTTAGCCTTTTTTCAATGTTATCACAACAACTATTTGAACCAAAATTAATTTTTCTTTTTCATAATAAATAAACCGGCTTGTGAATCAACTCAAACTGATAGAATTGAACTCAACTCAAGCTCGAGCTTGATCATACCAAGGATCAAGTTAAAGGCAGCTTTAGCTTGATTTGTTGTTTACACCCATACGTTTTTTATTCTTATCATGCATGATGTTCTCTTGATGCGAAGTGATGAAAATATGATGGAAGTGTTTATCTTGCTAGATGGTAAGTTCTCACTTTTATTGGTCTGGCCGAGTCTCTTTTTGATTTGGAGAATTCATTCTATCAAAACCCGATCGAAGCTAATGTCCTGGATTCCTTGCTTCATGCAATAACTGGGTGGTACCTTTTAGGCAACATACTTCATGAGACTGAAGTAACAAAAAGCTAATCACACATATTTGGATTCTTAAGCTGAGCTAAGGGTCCTACCTTTAATATATGATGACCATGAAGGTAAAAAGAACCTAGTGGATATCTTGGAAGGATAACTATCTTCAGCTTTAAACCAAGTTTAATGGTTGGAGATGACATGTAGCGAAACTTGGGTCGAGTTTATTCCTTTTTTATGATGTCAGTATGATACAAGTTCAAATTGAAGCTCAAATAGAGGTTGTTGTCCGTAATATGAGCTTGCCAAGATTTTGAGAAAATTTGAGTTGGAGAAGTTGGCTTGTATTAAGGCTGAGGAGATGTTTATGCTGAGGATAGGATGGCTGAGCTAACTTCCCTTGACATTAAGAAGGTCATTGAGTTGAATCGCAAGAGTACAATGTATGAAGCAAACATGAACTTGCTAGCCAAGCATGGCTACAAGCAATTGAAAGAAAGCATCTTAAGTGTCAACTCGTTGATTCATTTGCACTTGAGCAAGTCTTCTTTGATGGGATCTATGCTGATGAGTTTTTTGAAGAGTAACTTAAGTGTCATTCTTGCTTTTTTGCTTCTCATTTTTTTATATATCACATCAACTCCGGGTTATATTTCTTTTCTTATTTACACTTAAGTTTGTTTGAATGTTCTTGCTTGCCTAGCTTCGTATTTCAATTATACTAAATGCAAAATATCTTTAAAGCAATTGACCTACTTGGGTTACGGCCAAGGTTGGTACAACTCTATGAACTAACATGTACTTATGTAAGTCATTTTAGTAAACCTGTAGGCTTGTATTTGTATTTTGTAATCATACCTTAGTGATAAAACTACACATTTGGTTTGACCACTCGACTTATACCAAGATGACAAGACACTCACCTTTCGAAACTGTACTTTTTTAACTCAGCTTGTTGCAATGCTACTTAATAGATGTATTGGGTTAGAATGTCATAATGAATGCTTCATGGGAAGATGCTTAATAGAAAACTATCTTGCAAGCTAACTTGGTTTGGAAATTACTTTTTAAGAGTGAACTAATATAAGAATTTCAGTAAGTGTTTTTAGGCTTCCTAGGCCTTCTCAAATGGTCGTAAGTTTTTCCAGTTATTGACAACATTATATAGTATGTTAAGCAGCTTGTTCTAAACAATGCTATGGTAGCACATTCTCAACTCAATCAAGCCTCCTTATATTGTGGCAATGTCGAGCCGGTTTAAAAACTTGACTACAATTGGTAGGCAGATAAAAAACATAAAAGTTTTGTGGGGTGTTGTTTCCAATATTGTTTTGTATGTTGATGAGTGCCCTTGGCACTATAAGTTTGCTTATTTTGACTTGTGCAGCATTTTCCACCTCATAGGATCATGAGAGTAACAAACCTACGGGTACCCTTGTTTCTCTAGAGAAGGCATCAGGGTACCCTCATAGGGATCCATATTCTTATCATGTTACCCAGTTCCTCCAATTTGTGGAGGAGATTTAAATCTATTGATCATCTTAAGTTGATGAGCAATCAATGCATCTCAAAATTATTTGTCTCTGCTTTTATGAGCATTTGTGCCACATTATCGATATTGTTATTTGGCTCATTAAGTTGTGCTTGGGCTGCAAATACTACTCTAGAGATTCTTTGACAACTCAGTAAGGATTGGACCATTTGGTGAGGCTATGATAGCCTAGCCTCCTCATTGACTCTTGGTCTTCTTTTTATTTTGCTCATAATATCTCAACACAAGCACAAACATTGTAAACATCTTTTGGAATGCTTAAATTTCATAAGGAGATTGATGTGCATGTCCTTTGAACAGATGAGAGATGCAAAGGAAGGCAGAAACTGGATATCCCAAGGCCTTTTAATGGCGTCGCTTGAACAAAGAACCCTTTCATCTTAGGGTTCTCTTAGGATCACTAAAAAAAAATCCCTCATAAGATATTTATAAATATAAAACATATTTTTGCTGAATTTTCTCCTTTAATTTTAGTGATTATTGGTTACGAACTTAACCTAACAACATTCTTGAACTGTCATTGGCATCATTTTCACATCTGAGTAGCGAAATTCTTGAGGGGAAGTCGGAAACATCTCCTTGGATGCTAAAATTGTGAGCAATCATTTGATTCATGCTCTACATTGACCTACTTTGTAGATTTTCTCCTTCCACATTTGAGTGTCTTGATTTTTCTCCATCATTAGAGAAGCATCTTCATCTGGACGAGCCAAGTAGTGAGAATTTTGAGGCTATGGGAGGTTGACTTATTTGAGTCCTTAGAGCTATTCTAGTGCTGATTTTGATTGCTGAGGGGGTCAAGGTATGTTAAAGTCAATTTGATTCTTCATGCTGAGTGGAATGTGGTCCATGTTATCGACTTGGTTTGGCATGACTGATCTTCCATATAATGCTAGCTCGGTTGAACTGAGTCAGCCATCATTGAGACTTCGGTGCGATAGTGCCACCTGCATCGCATTGATTGCATCTTGGAAAGGGGACGATCCTATGACCCCAAGTCTCGTAGAATATCTTAGAATATTTAAAGTCGTGGTGTTCTTGATTAGCTTTGAATATTTTAGTGTCCAACATGCCACCTGACACCACACAATGGCCTTTGAGAACTGTTTTATTTCATTTTAGCTTTAGTGGAACTCTTATTTTTTCTTCCTTGCAGGATTTTGATAGTGAGGATTATCTTTGACATTTTCATTATTCTATCCGCCTCATACTTGAAAGCATGGCTAAAAACAAAATTTTACTATAATATAGAAGAGAAACTTTGCAGCTTCGTCTTTAGCATTATTCTAAAGGGAACTTTACATATGTAGCACACAATTCTTATGTATTTACATATCTCAAACCTAAGCTTTCATATTTACATACATAGTACTTTGGGGTTTTATGTCTATACATGAAAAGGTGTTTTTCACTTTTAAAAAGTCATAATAATGCTATTTTTGACGTGATATTATAGATTTGAATGTTATCAGTGTAAATATGAAAGTTTAGATGTGAGATATGTAAATACATAGCAATTGTATGTTATGTATGTAAATGCCCCTACTCTAAATCACGTTGGGTATTGTTCTTCTTCTACCAAAACACTTCTCAGTGTTGTTATTTTTTCATTCTATTTATTTATAAGAGTGATACCGACAATTGGTATAGGTGCAAAATTCAACAATAAAGTAATAAAAAAAACTAGGAGATTAACAAGAAAATAGAGATACGAAGAATATAAATCGGAAACCAGAAAAGTTGAAAATCAAGGAAAATATGATAGAAAATACAAAGGAGACACTAATCAAATAAAAATATAAGATACAAAAGTTTTCTACTCTGTAATCGATCAGGATACAGAAATCACCACCTGAAAGATTGACGAAGGAAGAAGACCCGACATGCTACCACCAACTACGAAGGGATATAGTTGCCACCACTTGACGTCATGGATGCAAACACATTCCCATCGAAGAACCTACGGAGCCCAAATCTTTCACATATTTCTACCTTATTATAAAAGTCTCAACAGGGATGATAGCGGCTCAACAGGAGCAGATATCTACCTCCTGGAACCGAAATCTACAGTTGTTGGCAACAAGCGTCGGTGCTGGATAGCAAATAATAGGCACCACAAACACGCCCAGGGAGGGTTGAACTCTAGTTACAGACCAAACAATAGGTTTCCCTAAGAAAACCCCACTCTTTGCATCAAGGAAGAGATAAAAATGATCTCCCAAAATTTCCCCTTATCATTAAAGTAGCTTGCCTTATGTAGGAGAAATGTAGGAATACAATTGGATAGTCCAAAAAGACTGCTATACCCTTTAAAAGACAAAAAAACACTAAAAACATAAAGAAGACTAAAAGAATACTAGGACTATCCTAGATTGCTTCTGCATCTTTCTTCCGGGGTTGGAGAAGTCTCTTCTTTTTATCCAATGTTTTAGTCTTCTGCATAGTGAGGAGTCAAATCATATGCATATATTAGGGCAAACAAGAGTAGCTTCATGTAGATGAACAAAAGGAAAAATCCAAAGATCCCAAAAATAAAAATGATATAGTTGCCTAGTGAATTCCAGTATTAAATAATTTATGACATGAAGACTGATTCAAGGCATACAATCGAGGGCAACTAAGTAATGCATGGGCCATGTTGGTGCTCCTTATTGCCAATTTTGAAGCTGAGGGTGTCTAATTGCAACACGGTGTATAGGACACTTAACAATGTTAAGTTCACACAATCAACCTTGTTGTATAGATATCTTTTTTTTTTTTTTAATATTCTAGGAAAAGTGAGCCCAAAGGGCAATGTATATGATTCGAAACCGCGACCTTAAGGTGAGAAACTCCATCCTCAACTATTATGTCATAGGTAAGTGCACTATATAAGAATCACTTGAAAATAATTACCACACGAGGAATTATAAATACTTAAACTGTCCTATGAATGAATTATAAAGACTTAAACTGTTTAATGGAAGACAATTAATCAAAGCTTGGAAGAAGCCATTAACAAGTTGTCCTTTCCCCAGATGTAAAGTTTCAAGCAATGCCATTACTTTAAAATTAAGAATGCCGACATCAAGCACTCCGAATAAATTGACCTCAATTGCATTTGAATTGTAGTGACAGGGCTCCTTTGTTGACCTCTTATAGGATGGAGGGTTAGGAACGATCGAACCAGGTATGAGTTCAATGCGTGTTGTATTTCTCACAAAGGAGGTAAACTGGCTGGAATTTTCTTTGGAAAAATGTCTGAAATTTGTTGTAACCATGGCTCTATAGCTGCTAGAATATCTATCTAACAATCTCAATTTTAAGAAATCAGCAGGTAATCCTTCCTTGTATCCTTCATCTCTTGCTGTAATAACCTAGCAGCCAGACTACTGCTTGTAGTAGCTCAACTACTGTTTGCAACAACCAGACTACTATCTTCAGCTTTGTTTCGTGCCTCTTTCATTGGAACCAAAGTTGTTTGTCTTCCATCCTTAGCAAAAGAGTTGGTGTTGGCATACCTTTGTAGTCGGTCCGTAGTCATATTGTTAGGGTCTTCGAAGCAACAAATAACAAGCATTCATGGGAATGACGTCGCATTGAACTTCCTCATAGAACTTTAGGCCAATAGAAATTTGTAGTAGACATTGTCTAGCTTCTTAAGACATATAAGTTGATAAGGATGTGGATGTGATTGTTGATCAATCAAATTTCTCTACCATTGTAGCAGAAGCTATGTTTTCACAATTTTCACCATCGAAGATGAGATTTCAAACTTTATCCCCCACCATGCATCATATGCTAAAGATATTGTGATGATGCCATTTTGGATTAAGAATGGGCTCAATAGTCAAGAGCCTACGAAGGACCAATAGTTCCTTTCATCCATGTGCAACACCTGCTCTCCTATAGGGCCTCCGGAACTTCTTCCCTTTATGGATTGTTTTCTTCCACCAACTAAATGATTAGGTGGTTAGGACAATTAGATGCTATATGTCCAAACCCATGCACTTAAAACACCTTCTTGAAGAAGGGTTTGCAAACGTTTTTGTTGTTCCTCATGGCTGAATGACAATTTGACTGCTGCTTGATTCGCTTTTCTTCTCACTTAGTTGGACCCCAGTATGTCTAGTTCTGGACTGAATCGATTTCTCTCCCATGGGGTGGTGTAATCATGCAATTTTACTCCATTTCTGTTGTCGTTCAACCTTGACAGCAAGGTTGAGGACATCTTGGAGGGTCCAAAAAGGTTGTAGTTATATCATGTGGCCTATGATTGGCTTTAGCCCACCCAAGAACCGTGCAATGGATTGCTCTTACGGTTCAATTATGTTGCAATTCAGCCCAAGTCGTTCGAATTCCATTGTATATTTCTCCATTGTTAAGTCTTGTTATTGGAGATTATATAACTTTAAGAAAACCTCATCTATAATGTTCTGACAAGAATATTCTTTGTAATTCTTTCCTCATTTTATCCCATGTTGCAATTTTTGATTGCCCCTCTCTTTGCCTTATTCTCTTTAAGTTCTCCCATCAAAGTGATGAATTCTTTTTGAGTTTGATTGCCACCAACTCGATCACATGTTCTTGTGGAACTTCTTTGTAATGAAGAATTCACTCCACTGTGTGTAGCCAATTGATGAATTTTTCTCAGTCTAATCTTCCATTGAAATCAGGAATATCAGCCATAATTCCAAATTCTGAATTTTGGCAAGGTTGTCTCCTTCTATAGGTGTGGCTTGGCCTATCTTCCTCACTGAATACTTCTCAGAAAAAAAGATTTTCTTCCTTTTCTTCAACTGCCTCCTTGCCACCATTTTTTTGGTTTCCAATTTCCAGAATTTTGCTGTTCAAGAACATCAGGCCTTTCTTGCAAATGCCAAATTTCTTGCTGCAGTCCTTCTACCATCATTTCTTGATTGTCTTGCAAGATTTTGACAAGGTGGCATTTCTAGAAACTGAAATAAGTACAACAGTGGATGGAACAACAGCCTTCTGCTAGTGGACAGTGGACAAGAGGGAGGATTGCAATGGAAACTTCTTGCCACGGTAGAATGCACCGGAGAACACTTCCAAGAACCAGGATTCGACATTGCAAGAAGAGTTTCTGCTCTAGCCAAATAACCCAAGAAAAAAAACTTGCTCTAGTACCAAGATGATAGCAGCACAAAAGGGAAAACATCTGATTAAGCAGCTATCTCCCACCTGGAACCGAAATCTGCAGTTGCTGGCAGTAGACATCGGTCTTGGACAACAGATAACAGGCCTCACAAACACCCCCAGGGAGGGCCGAACCCTGGTTACAGACCAAACAGCAGGTTTCCTGAGGGAACCCTACTCTTGGCGCAAAGGAAGAGATAGAAGTGATCACCCAAAAGTCTCCTTTACGTTAAAGAAGCCTGCCTTATATAGGAGATAAGTAGGAATACACTTGGACAGTAAAAACAAACCACTATACCCTTTAAAAGCAAAGAAAACAGTAAAAAACGTAAAAAAAAAAGTCTAAAAACAAATACTAGGACTATTCTAGATTGCTGCTGCATCAAGAAGGGCTTATTATCTTGTTGAATCTCATGTTCAAACATGAGCTATTAGTTTTTTACTGTGGAATATATTTAAATATCGCAGAGATTCCTTATTGTTTTGGATATTTTTGGTTTTCTTAACCATCTTGCATGTCTGCAGGGTTTCAGATTTGTCTAAAATGGCCTTTTTATGCCATATAATTGATGGCAGGTATTAGAGGAAACTGGATTTGATATTTCAAATCTCTTGAATTTGGATGACTATATTGAAGTTGTAATTGGAGAACAGAGGGTTAGACTCTACATAATAGCAGGTGTGAAGGAAGATACTGCATTTGCACCTCTGACCAAGAAAGAGATCAGTGTATGTTGTGTGTGTTCATCCTGGTCATTTCATTGTACGGAAAGTTACATACACGCCACACAATTCAGATGTATTTACATATTTAACACCTAACTTTTGACATTTACATTTGTATCACTTTGGTATTATAAACTTATGCATTAAAACGTGTATTTCACTTTTAAAAAGTTTGTAACTGTAATATTTTTATGTTATGTTAAAGATTTAAGAGGTATGCATGTAAATATCAACTTTTAGATATTATCTATGTAAATATGTAAGGATTGCGAGGTAGGTATGTAAGTAAATGCCCCTTCATAGTATTGAAGTACATGTGTTTGAATTACAATAGTTGCACTGCTTTTTCCTGTCGGTATTTTTTGCTCTATTTAATTTTTGTTGATCATCCTTTTTTTGTTGAGGTGTTTCAGTTTTGTCTGAACCTGCAACTTCAACAGTTTAGTTTGTGTCATGTCTCAAAAATGTTCTGCAGATTTAGATATGCTTCTTGTATTGTCTCTCCTTTTCTTGTCAGTGAAAAAAATACCTAAAAACTAACGTTGTTCCTCATTGTTGGTACGGATTTTTGTCATGAATAAGAAAGAAGCCTGGCTTATGTTTAACTTAATTATTAGGAATACAAACTACACCTTTAAGGTTTTTTTTTGGATACTGAAGTAGATGCATCAGACCCTTGACTTATGAAGGTTCATGTGAAACTAAAGTACAGAACGCATCCCTTTTTTTTAAAGCATGATTGTCGAACTATAAAATGATATTAGTGCAACAAGGGAGAGTTTGAATGGAAAAAAAAAGGTAAAATGGGGATCATTAACCCCCATTTTACCTTTCTTTTTCCCTTAATGGGGGGCATTTTCTTTAATTTATGCATACATACAATACATATTATTATTATTATTACATCATTTTGTACATACAGATTTATATGCATGTGTGTGGTCTCTATGAATTCTATCTATCTTTCTTGCCTCTCCTTATAAACAAGCTAATTTTCAACTCTTCTACAATATTAAGCAAATGGAAGGCTCTATCTGTTGGTTGACCTTTCATTACAAGCTATGGATGGATTAGTATCTGCAATTGTCCCCTAGGTCTAAAATTAGTCTTCTCTTTCTACTCTTCAAGCGCACACTTTTTAATTCTAAAACATTGACTGGTTTCTGTATAACTTTTCTTTGACAAATTTTTTCCACAACTTGAGCAAAATCAAGCAATTCCTCTATTTGGTGACTGGTTCTTTCTTGATTTTGTTGAAATCAAACATAAACTTTTTTCCACGAGAACAACTTGTGTAGACACCTCCCTTCCCTTCTTTCTTTTGCTATTCTACATTTATTGTTGTATCTCAATCATGTCATTCTCAATTAATCTTCTTTCTTTCTTTACCAAGTTTTGACGGCTATCAATGGTTACCTGAGATTATCACGTATTCCTTTCAAAAATATATAATTTTTTTTTGGAGTGCTGATGAATTATACTGTATCTTATCAAAGTTGGTTGTAAGTTACCATGGTCAAGATACTTTTAATCACTTAATAGTATTGTCCTATCTTAAACTAAGTAGCATTCTTCACTAATTTGCTCGAAATGAAATATGTTTAGGAGTGCATTTCAGTGATCTTTATTATAACTCTGAAAATTGGGATTGAGTGACAAATTTTGGAGGGTTCATATCTAACACCTAAACTTCACTTTTTTACATTTATACCACCCAAATCTTTCATATTACATAAAAAAAAACCACCATTTTAACTTTTAAAAAGGGAAATGCACTTTTTCATGCATAGGTAAGGTGGTATATTTGTAAAAAGTAAAGTTTAGGTGTTAGATATGTAAATTTCCCCTTTTTTTCACTTTAAGAAAAAATAGTGGGGATTTGAAGGATTCCAAGTTGGGGCAGATCTTATGTGAATACTTTGCCCCACATAAATCCATATAAAAGCATTTCTCATGCTTCAGATTTATAGCTGGTTTCTTTGCATTGATTTGTCCATTCTACGCAGGAAATCTCATGGCACCGACTCGATGAAATTCTTCCAGCAAGCGATGAAGTTTTTTCACGCGGAACAAATGGCTTGAAGCTTTACATGGTTGCACCATTCCAAACGTTAGTATTTCTGAAATTTTGTGGCATTGTTTGATTTTGAATATTGTTTCTCCTGCTAATCCTAGCCCCCCCCCCGGATTTTCTGCAGTGCATTAAAAGCATGGATTGCAGCTCATCCTCCTCCCCCCGGCCAGAAAACGGAGGCATCTGCAAAAGGTTACAGTAATCCTCCTATTTTCCTTTAAGGGCATTTACATACCATCAATATCCTATGTATTTATATATCAAACGCCTAAACTTTATCTTTTACATTTATACAACTGATCTTTATATCACATAAAAAAATACCAATATTTTACTTTTAAAAAGTGAATACACGTTTTCATGCATGAGTAAGGTGGTATCTATGTAAAAATTGGAGTTTAGGCGTTAGATATGCAAATACATAGGAATTGAGTGGTATGTATGTAAATTTTCCATCCATTTTTATGCTTTAATTTTCAGTTGGTATGTTAGCTGTAACTCAACGGGAACGCTTATTGGACAACTGAATAACTTTATAAAGATTTAATTTTCACCAGTTTAAAGGAAACTTTTAGGATGTAAAGCCTTGAACCAACCTCAAAATATGATGCATGTGCTCAGATGTGTAGCAGTGGTCGGAAATAAAGTGTAGAATCCCATTGGATCAGGTTCAAGTGCTCGTCTTGCCTGAATTGATAATAATTATAATAAAACTTAAAAAAAAACTTGAAATATGCTACATGCTGTAGCAACTTCATCGTAAGGTTGATTTAGGGTTTAGCCTAACTAATGCAAACTTGTGGGTCTGGCTGACTTTGAGGTGCCTTCTTTCAAGTTCCTGTTTCTTTTGTGGGCCTGACCATTATTGTCTTATGAGATATGCTTACATTTTTTGTATTAACACACATAAATCTTTAGTATTAATGCATACTTTTTATCTGATGGCTCAATCCTGCTAGGCTTATTGTTTAGAACTTCATCCATGTAGTAAGAGTTTGTTTGGGGCAGCTGCAGCTTATTAATAAGCTGATATGCATCAACTGCCCGAGAAAGCTGCTGCGCAGAAGCTGTTTTGGATAAGTTGGTTGATCGTTTGTTTATTGTTATTTGAAAACAGCTGTAATACAACTGTTTCTAAACAAATGATCATTTTGTCACTGTGTAGTAATATTTTTTGCAACATAACTGGTATAACAATATATTTGATATTTTAGAAGCAAAAATCACTTCAAAATAGTGCAAAAAATAAGGCTCTGTTTGGGGCCGCGTATTTCGCGTGGCGTGGCACCAAATCGCGAAGCTGATAAAAAAATTTCTGTTTGGATGTGCGTTCGCGGCCGCTCGCTACTAAAATAGGCGGAACACGGGCCGCAGGATCGACCCTGCGGCCCGCGTTATCGATCGGCTTTTCCCTCTTTTACCCCGTGCTCTCCAGTCTCTCGCGATCAAGCAAAATGTTTTCTTTGGTGAACGAGAGAGGGAAAGTGAGTGAGGCAGAGGCGAGGTGAGGAAGAAGAAAAATAAGAATGAAGAGGAATACTCTCCTTCTAGGGATGAGTCGAATGCGACGACGTCCCTGATCGCTGAACAGAGGAGACGAGGTGTTAGCGTTCGGCGTGGACAACAAAGATTGCTATTGATCCAAATGCTTCCGAAATGCTTCGAGAAGTGCAGAGAAGAAGGGCGAACTGGCTACGTCGGTGCACCTGCAAGTGAAGGAGGAAGGGACGACAGAAATAATTATAAGCTGTTTTACTTATAATGTAATTTTAATATAGTAAGCGAAGGGTGAACTTAGGGAAAAATAAAGTAAGCCATTCTATAGTATTTAAGTTGTTTTACTTAGAATGTAATGTTAATATTTTTAATTAATAGTTATGTATATATTTTATAATATGATATAGAAATATGAGAGAAATAACATTTAATTTACTTTTCTTAAAAATATATTGTATTTTAAAATATATATTTTAAAAAATGTAGCTTACACAAGTTACATAAAAAATATACATTTTTTTTATTTTATACAAAATAATAGGTATTATTATAATTAGAAAGAAATTGTAAGCACTTTGGGGGCTTACTAAAGTTCCAAAAAAATGATTGTTATACTCTTCTTTTAAACAGTTTTACCAAATAAGGGCAGTATGGCCTTTTTTTCATAAACAACTGTCCGACAGCTGGTTTCACACAACTGCACCAAACAGACATTCAACTTTCTCGCAGCTGCTTCCCCACAGCTGCTTCCTGGGGCAACACAGTTGCAGCTGAAAAGCTGCAGCTACGCTAAACAGAGCCTGAAATATATATCACTTAGCAGTGAGTATCATCATTACTAAAATAAAGAGAAGACTATTAAATAACATTTAATCATATAATAATATTATTTTTAAAATGGAGACGGTGTATGTCACGAGTCAGATGTCCTCCAGGGCTACTATTCATTCCCGATCACTCTCAACAGTGGAATTTGCTAAGCCTGTTTGCCCATCGGAAAAAGTCGCTTGTCCGTGATTTTCTGCTGACATCTGTAGAACTGTTTCCCGTAGTTATGTGTCTGACGTGATGTGAGCAGGGAACTTAGTCCGCAGTAGCATAGCACACCTCGGGAGGTTCCTGAAATCCGTGAACTCATCTTCCCTGAATACTTCAAAAGACAATCCATTAGTCATAACATAAGTAGAAACTGATAAAAGAAATAAGTAATTACAGTTTTGTGCAAGCAAGAGGTCTTAGTTTACTCAGTATACGAACCAACGAATCTGTCACTACAAAAAGGCAGCAGACCTTATAAAACAGGAGTTTTTGGTTGTCTTTAACTCAGGTAATACCAAACTCGTGTGTGTCACATATGCTTATAACCCAAAAAGACCATCAAAAAGAACCTTAAAAATCGTATCGCCGAAAAAAAAGGGAAGAACTTGGTTGTCTTCAAAAAGATTTAACATGTGACACCAACCAATGCTGACAATCAGACGATCCAGAAGAACCCATAAGACCTAACATCTCATCATGGACCTCTCAACCCCACCGAAAGAAAAACAAACGAAAGGAAAGAAGGAAAAAAATACTTACAAATGCAGAAAAAATCCTAACAATCATAATCAAATGTACAGGGAATGAAAATAAATATGAACTGTATAAAATAAACAATCAAAATTGACAAACGAAGTGATTAATTATATTATTGGATACACGTCCATTCACTTTGGTTCCCTTGATTGCTTCAATACAGTTCAGACAAATTAAATAAAGTTATGTTAATTACGCTACTTATTTTGACTTCTAAATATGAGTAAAAAAAATTTACCTTAAAAAATGGCATATACCGCGGGTCATCTAAAATTTTTTTTGGAGTTCTCTTGAATGTTGGATGATCTGTCTTAATAATCTATGTCGACAAACTAACAAGAGCCTTCAACCCTACTGAGAAATATCTGGCGATGGTCTTCGATGAATGCTGAAATCGCTTCATCGCTCATCTCATTGATTCATTCTGTGATAAAATGTAGAAGGTTATTGCTAGCACTTCTCTGGTTGTCATTCTTAAGGAGCCATGAAGTTCATGGTTCCTATGTAGTTCATCAAACAGTTCCATAAATATAGGCTGTCATACGAAACATGTTAATAAATTTTGTAAGGTGTCCTTGTAGTAGCTCTCCAACCCATTTATCATCAATGTAAGTAGATTTCATGATGGGAGTTTGATCTACGTATGAGTTGTATTCGTACAACATACAAACTGCTGTCACAATTTTCCTTTTGCGACTCTATTTGTGAATCTATGCTAAAGAAATGCTCTGTTCAAGTATTACATGTCAATCAAACAACATTAAAAAACAACGAAAATCGAATCACAAAGCGTACAATAAGAAAACATAAATATAGAATAACATATAGATTGTTCATACGAGAAAGAATAAACTTCAAATAAGAAATCCGATAAAAATATAAGAAAATAATTCCAAGTAGTACAACAATAACTACATAAAATCAAGTGTTCTGCTGTCGAAAAAAAACGCAAATAAGTAACCTTGCGATCAAAGGCTATCTTCATGAAGATCTGTCTACTGTTGGGGTCCTCCATCAAACTTGAAGGAGTTCAGATATAACATGTCTTCATAAATTTTGGGAGTTTCCTCCAGAACTCGGATAAAGTCGTCTACGGAGGTCGCATGTGAAGTTTCAGGTTTATTAGTGCATGAAGCGACCATTTTTGATATTTGACTTCTGATGAAAGCAGCTCATTTTTCTCTTTTTTCTCCACCCTAGGACACTTTGACCTGCATATGGATTTCAATTCATTTTGTTTTAGGCTTGGGCCTTCACCAGAGCTAGTTACCTGCTCGACATCCAAGTCCTTTGGTATGCCTGCAGCCCCATGCTCACTTGGGGTCTAAGCATGAGACCCGTTGCCACAATCCCACCAAACATACAGTCCATTTTTTCTTCCAGCTCAGGTTGAATTTCGTTGAATTTGAATTTGTTGGCGGTTGGAACTAGGGGAGTAAACGAGCCGAACACGAGCGAGCCCAAGCTCAGCTCGTGTTCGGCTCGTTTATATTTCGAGCTCAAAAAGTGTGTTCGTGTTCGGCTCTTTTGCTTAGCGAGCCGAACACAAGTCGTTCATGAACAAAGAGTCATTTTGACAACCCTATTCACGTAGTCATAAGATTTTAAGGAATTGGGCAAGATTTAAAACATCATTTGAATCTAATTTAATAATTTTTATTCTATTTTCTTCATTAATACTTTTAATTGATTATAACTCTTTGTAGCCTTGTAGTTAATTAAATTTTTTTAAAATACTACTCATCAAAGATATATATATAATTGATTAGAAGTATTTCGAGCCAAAACGAGCCGAACACGAACGAACAAATATTTGTTTATGTTGTTTGTGTTCGGCTCGTTAACTTAGCGAACGAGCTGAACACGAGCTGTTCGCGAACAACGAGCCGTTTTGATAACCCTAGTTGGCACTGCCTGCGATATACAGGCAATTTTATTTTTTCAAATAGTTTAGGAGGATAAAGTCATGAAAATCAAGTCTTTCATGGACAAGTTGCTATCTCTAATTTTGCAGTCCACCATTCCTCTGAAGCATCAATAGTCCGTTTGATTGGATTCCAACCTAAGCCTATAGGTCTTTGTTTTAATTCCTTTCATATTTTTCACTCATTCTACTAATCCCACTTGTTTTTAAGTTACAACCTATCGTACTCGCTTTCTGTCATTTCATTGTACTTCATTATATTTTGTCACCCTTGTTAAAATAGGTGGTGGGCTTATTTCCCAGCTTAATACCCTAAGACGCAGGTAGTAAAATATGAGTTTGACTTCCCTATCACACATGACCGATGCATCGACTTCTTTAGTCTTAACCATTGCGTTATTAGCCCAGAAAAAATAAAACATTAATATTAGACTGCAACCACAACACACATTAACCACCACAACCAAACAAACACAACTCACAACCACAATCACCACAGTTTAAAACACAACTCCACAACCACCTAAGCCACTACCACCACACCACAACCCATAACACAATCAGAGCCACTACAGCACAAGCAAAGCCACCACATCACAACCAGAGCAACCACCCATTTATCAACCATCACAACCCACAACACATCCAGACCCACAACCACCCAGACCATAACTACCCTGACCACAACCACCCAACCACACAGCCCACAATAACCACTCTACAATACACAACACCACAACCACCTAACCCACGGCATAGCCAGCACAACCACGCATATCACAACCACAACACCTGAAGAGAATTCTTTGTAGACTTATTTGATTGCTTAAAGTTAGCAAAATATGCTTTGAATTTCCACTAACAAAATGATTTTGTTTTCCTGTTGCATTTTATTATTCTGGGGATGTATAAGAATTTATTTGCAGCCTTCTCCTATAGATAATGATGATGATGTCTACATGTTATTGATGATAATCACTAAAAAGTACTTTTTGAATCTTTCCTGAAAGAATTTATCAAAGCAAATCAATGGACTATCAAAGCACAATACAATTTTCACCACCACACATAACACAACCAACACAGCCCACAACATAGTCATCACAACCCACACACACCATAACCGCCCAATACCTAATTGCAATATTCTCCTAGTGATAATGAAGATGGTGTCTACATGTTATTGATGATGATCACTGAAAAGTATTCTTTGAACCTTTCCTTAAAAATTTTGTCAAAGAAAATCTAGGGGCTATCAAAGCATAATACAATTTCCACCACTACACATAGCATAACTATCACAGCCCACAATGCAGCCACCACAATCTACACACACCACAACCACCCAAGAATTTATTTACAGTCATCTCCTGGAGATAATGAAGATGATGTCTACATGTTATTGATGATGATCACTGAAAAGTACTCTTTGAATATTTCCTTAAAGAATTTATCAAAGCAAATCTAGGGGCTATCAAATCACAATACAATTTCTACCAACAACACACCACAAAATCACATGATTTGCAAAAACTAACATCGCATAAATTACAAAATCCAACAGCAGTGAACAACTAATCAAAAATCACCGACCGAATTGAGCTCAGAAACCATCGCAAAATCATATTGTCAGGGAAAAGTTTGAAAAAAAACGCAGGCCGAAGGAGAGCGAAGGATCCAAGCAGAGACAAAGCACGGCTCACGGATCGGACGGGAGGAGGGGTGCAGGATCTTACCTCAAGGGTGAAAAGAGAGAGAGAAGCTCGGTCACGAGAGAGGGGAGAGAGAAGCTCGGCTCCATCGCGAGAGAGGGGAAGGAGAAGGTCTGTCGCAAGAGAGGCGAGCGAGGGGATAGGGTAGCAAAAAGCGACCGAGTAGTTAATACAAGACATTGGCCGCGGAGTTGAACCCGCGGCTCACGGTTTGTTCGATTTTATTAAAAAAGCCACCGCGGCGTAGTTTTCAAATGAACAAAAAAATGTAAAACGCGGTTTGGGACCGTGCCACGTGAAAAAAGCGCCCCAAATGGACCCTAAATCTTAGTTTCCAATTCCTTACCAATGAGCATATAATCTTCTACCTTTCAGCCTAAACATATATCCTAGTTGGAAAATTTGCAAGAATACCACACAATTCTTACATATTTACATATCCAGGTCCTAAAGCTTGTTATTTATATATATGAATATTTCTTGTGTATTTATACATCTAACATCTAAATTTCAAGTTTTACATATATGCAACCTTACTCATATGAAAATGTGTATTTCACATTGTAAATGTTAAAATAATAATATTTTTTGATATGATATTAAAGATTTGGGTGATATAAATGTGAAAAAATAAAATTTAGTTGTTAGATATGTAATTACTTAAGAATCGGGTGGTATGCTTGTAAATGCCCCTTATATATATAACATTTTAGTGTCATAATCACGTCAAAATCTATGGACGAAAAGGTGAAAGAGCAATTCAGGTAAGAATCATTTAAATACTTGATATTCTTTGGTATCCTAATTTGTGTCCTATATGTATTATAAAACTCTCTCTCTCTCTCTCTCTCTCTCTCTCTCTCTCTCTCTCTCTCTCTCTCTCATGTTAAAGTCTTAATTGCCGAAAACTGATTGACCTGATATCAAATATTTCGATACTGACAACCATCAAATCGAACTTAAGCAGCTATGTGTGTGTGGAAAGTGAAGAGCAGCAATTTAGGTGGTGGCGCTTCCACTGCTGATAACCAATTGCAGAAAGCAGGATCTGATGCTCAGGATGCCGCTGATGTTAGGCCTGGTAGAAGCTTCAGAAATTTCAGATTTGATGTTCCAAGCATTCTGCAGTCCATTGATGCTGCTTTCTCTGCTAATGAGAATTAGATTGGGTTTCTTAGCATGGATAGATAAGAGAACTTTGTATGTGGATTAGGAGAAATGAAATGGTGAAGACTTTTATGAAATGATTTCTTGGTTGCACTTGCTTCAATATGATCTTCTCATTGGTTGGGTTTACTGTTGTTCTTAAGGGTACAAATATCCATTTGCCTGATATGGTCCAGAAAGATGAGTTTCTAAGTTGTAGTATATCTTTTTGGGTGTTTTGGTTGATTTTCATGCATAACACAATTCTGTATTTGTATGTCTTGACACCCAATGGTCGACAATACACTTTTAATATACGTTTATACGGTGATACTGATAAATATTATAAATGAAATAAATTAAAATAAATGAAAAATTGATTTCATACTAGTTTTTTTTTTTTTTTACTGCTTACAATTTTTTTTCTTTTTATTGTATTTTTATAATATACTTTTAAAATGGGAATTATTGTAATTTTAAAATATTTTTTCACTAATTAGTTAACTCATACCTTTAGTTAATATTTTTAAAGAAAATTTGTTTTAGAATAAATGAATTATAGAGTGTGTACAAACGCCGATAAGCTCAGATTGGTAGGCAATATTTCATTTTCTTTGTTTTTGTCGGTCGTAAAAATTTCAAAATTGTATGAACTATTTGCAAATTAAAATTTTATAAAACAAAATTGCTCTTTTTATGTTTTTTTATTAGATTTAGTAATGAAACAAAAATATTTAGATAGTTTCCTTCGTCATATTGTCTATTTCCACATTATTATTTCAAGCTATTGGGTCGCAATAAGAGTGGTATTAGGAAGAAGGCTATCTAAAAGAATTATTAGGAAAATCATTAATTATTATTAAGAAAGTTAAATAATAAATCTAATGTTTGTAAAAAGGACAATGGATATGATTTAGAATATTACAAAGGTGAACACTAGGAAGGCTAGAGTTGTTGGATAGTAGAATATGCACCTTCATTTTAGAGTCCTCATGAATGCATTTACTCAAATGATGGTTGTAGTGACACGATTCAAGATTCTTAGATCTAAGCCAATGGTGGTGGGACAACATCGATAAATAAATATCTGAAGTTGTCTAGGATATTAGATTGCTCTTTTTAGAAGTTAGAGGGTCAGTGGAGGTTAATAATTGGCTATTGAGGATAGAAAAAGATCATTGACATCATGTGATAGAAGAGTTACATTGGTCACCTTCGTTTTTGGGGGAGAAACAAAGAGGTAGTGGCAAGAGCAGCTACTTAGAAGTTTGGGGGACACAATAGTTTGATCCAGTGGGAGAATTTGTGAAGATCTTTCATCTCGTTTGTTCCTTTATCAGCCAAGGGGTAAATGCGAGATAGATTCATTGGGTTGGTGCAAGGTGATCATTCTATTTTGCATATGAGGGACACAATAGTCTGATCCAACAGGAGAATTTGTGAAGATCTTTCATCTCGTTTGTTCCTTTATCAGCCAAGGGGTAAATGCGAGATAGATTCATTGGGTTGGTGCAAGGTGATCGTTCTATTTTGCATATGAGGCTTAGTTTGTGATGCTCTCCATATATGCATCACAACTAATCTCCAATGAACAAGAAAAGTGTCATAATTTTCTATTTAAATTAAAGGATGTTATTAAACAACCTTTAATTCCTTTGGGCATTGAGTATTATTCAATTCTAGTGGAGAGAGCAAGGATGATAGAGATTGACTTATCATATTTTCAAAAGAGGAAGGGTGATGAGAGGCCCAGATTTGAGCCACCTAATCTGTCTAGTCTGCGCAGTCTAGCTTGAAGATGTGTAAATCTAGCAACAGTGGTAGTGGCACTATTAGTAATAGAAATGTGATGACTTGTACGAAAAGTGGAAAGATGCTTAAAGGGGAATGTCTGTTGGGAGCCAACACATGTTTTTGTGTCATCAAGTAGGAGACATGGCGAGCTTGTGTCATATTTTATGTCAAAGGCATATTATACAAATCAAAACTAGTGCTCTACCTCCTTAGGGAAGATTTGGCATACAGAGAACCTGAGTCATCAAAATCAGCTCCAGCTAAAAGTCGGACCTGCCAAGGAGCCTCGAGTATATACACTGAATCAACAGGAAGCGAATGACTCACCTGATGTCATTATAGATAATTCTTTATTTTTGTGAATTTGCCACATTTTCATTTAGTATTAGATTTTTTTTTAATCTCTTTATTATGCATATCGTATCTATCCAAAATAAATAGTTTGAATTTCATTTGATACTTGAGCATCATATTTTTTTCTTTGAAGAATTTGTGAGAATCGAGAGACTGAATACAATAAAGAATCCTGATGTATTATCCATTGCTTAACCTATTAGGCCTCATATAGTGGTTGATAGAAATTGTTGTATTTATTATCATATGTAATATAAGCTTGAAAGTGAATTTGATAGTGTTACCACAAGCTAAATTTGAAGTGATCCAAGAGATGGATTGGCTATTCAATCACTATGCAACTATAGATTGCTCCAAAAAGATAGTGGAATTCAATATATTTGACGTAGAAGAATTTAAATTTATGGTAGATGGAAGAGTCTTATTGATACCGGAGTTAAACCAACCAGCAAACTTAAAAAGAAAAATACAACAACACAACACCAGTAAATTCGAAATAGTAACAAACATGACAAACACTCAAATTAGGGTGGATCTTCGGATGGTGCATGTTCAGCGAGGGTTTAGTTCTCTAAAGAGGTAGCAATGGGTGGGGAAAGGGTTAGAAGGTGCAGCAAGAACAAAGGTGTCTGTGTAACCATGAGGGGTCGGGAGTGGCATGTGGAGGATGTGGAAGGTGATAGGGAAAATAATTACCATCTTAAGAGAGAGATACAACCGGAACACCACCCAAACCCTTGAAGGGAAAAAATGGATGTTGGTAGTTATCCTAAATGAACTCACACCAAAAACTGACAAAATGAAATGAATGATAATAAGTAAGAAAGCATGAAAAAGGAAAATGTGACTAATTTGACCCATCTTTCATCTTATGCGCCCCTTTTCAAAATTTTGCAGAATGTAGGAGCATCTCCGCGTGTCAGTCGATCGGGGTTGGGGGAGCTTCAACCTCACATATTGAAGCTTATAACTTCTCATGATATGGTGCCAAGTCAAGCATGCTAAGGTAGCGAATATATTGTAACTTCTAGTAAGTCAATCACATCGGATTTATAATTCTAAAGCATGTCCTGTTAGAATAAGTATTCATCCTATTTTGACGCAACCCGAGTCGACACTATAGATAGATGAGTATTCTTAAGAATCGGGTCTCGAGCCACTACATCTCTAAACTGATTCTCCCACTTCTAGTGCTTTGCTGGGAGTATTTGATACACATGAATGTAAGAAGGATTTAACTTTAGGATGAAATCTATGGCAGAATGAACAACTTTCATTAGCAACCATTCAGGAGAGGCCTCTTCTTATTCTCTGATAAGACTTGGATCCTACTATAGGATTTTTTTTCCTACCAAGCTCCTATAGTAATTCCAAATGCTATGGTTCATCTCTCTTGTCCGACCATCTATTGGCGGATGCATGCTAAACTGAATTTAATATTCAAATAACTCAATATGATTTTCTAGAAGTGGCACAAAAGATTTTCATTTTTGACATGTTGAACCTCTCTCAGTTGGGGTAACTTAAGAAGCAAAATATATATATCTGAAAAGTCTAAAAATCTCTTATTCGGGGTTGTTATATGTCTAGTGTTTGTGTCTCAAACTTAGGACTATCTTGGACCACCAATGTTAATTTTGTTGGAGTCTCTCTCATGGGCTCAACTTTAACTACGTACATTTCTCCCTCAGCAGTTGGGATCTGATACTCCTCCTTTATGTCATCACCTTATTTATTGTCTAATGCGTCATTATCTATTTCTTAAAATAGCTTCCTGCTTAGTGAAATTGATTGTACCCTTATTTGGGCAATTTGTCACACTGTGCCCAAAACTGTGACACTTGACACACTTTCTAGCTGGGAAAAATTTGAGAATGCTTGTTAGCTTCATTTGTTCTTCACCCTGAATTAGTTTCTCCTTTAGGAGAGGCTTGGGTGTTCTTCTGGGTGTATTCATGTTTACTCGATTCTATGTTGAATTTTACCTGTAAGGTATGACAGTCATCAGATGATTTTGTTGTAACTGGTGAAATCTTTCGAGCATATCCTGCTTATAAGATGTGGGTAGTTACCAGAGATCCATCTTTCATTTCATCTTAAACAACCTAATGATGTTATCTTTTCCTTTATGTTGTCATAAATGCTTCCAATTTTCTAACCAAAATAATGAACACTTCTTTAAATTGTTGGCGACTAGTTTCACTATTTTGTCTAATGGGATATCTTGGTACATAAAAAAAGTTTCACAGTATGAAGTCACTCGATGAACTTGTTTGGATCCAAGCTACCATCACTATATTAAAAATCAATCTTTACTTCAATATCCTCAATTCTCAAATATTTTATGCTAAATATGTGGGCGGTGGTTCTTCATGTCTGAAATATGTATGCTAGGAGAGATTCACTGCATTCTTTCGATCAATTGAGTCATAGTTGTGGCTATGAGTTGCCCTTTTATATTTTCTCATCTCAAAAAGAAGGTAAGCCTTTATTGCACTTGAGGATTTGTGTTGCAAATCCAATATAAAAGGTTCCCAGTCATTCTCATAAATGTCATTATGACATTTCCTCCCCCAAATTGGTTACTGAAAATTGTCTATTTAGTGGCTTTTTTGCATTTTGGGTGTGGGTAGGTGGGAAGGCGGGGATAGAGAGGTTGTGGGGTTTTGGGGTAGCCCGTTTGAAAAATCAGCAAAGGGAATGATTTTTGTGTGGAGGTAGGGTTGGGTTGTTGGTGTATGCTAGAAGCTCTAAGATATGAATAAGGTCATACTAGCTCTGATACCAAATGATTTTTGAGTAAAACTAAATAATAACAAACAAAAAAATATTATTACTGAAAAAGCCTGTAAGCTCTTATAGCTAACATATTTGATAGGGAAAATACAACAACATGACACCTAGAAATTTGAAATAGTAACCTAGATGACACAAACACTAAATTTAGGGTGGATCTCGGGGTAATGAAGGTGATCAATGAGAGTTTGATCCTCTAAAGAGGTAGCAACAAGTGGGAGCAACATCTAGAAAGTGTGACAACAATAAAGGTGTGTGGGTAAATGCAAGGGGACTAGTGTGAAGTTGTAGGAACAACAAATACAGTTGTTGTCCTAGGTGGGAGAAACAATAAAGATGGTGTTGGACAATGAGTAAGTGGTTAGGAGATGATGTTATAGGCGTGATAGAAAGGGAGGAGGACATCAACAATGAAGGTGAGGATTTGCAGCAATGCAAAAAGTTAGAATGAGAGAAACATATGACTAGATTGTTAGAATTGCATGTGAACAACAAACAAACATTGTTCTGGGTGGCGTCAGCTAGGGGGAATGTCAACGATAGTGGAAAAGGATGTAGGGGACTGCAAGACATCAAGAGGACAACTGTATGAGGTGGTAGCAGTGAGGACATGTGGCTGGAATTAGAAAAATTATAGTGAAAATAATAATGACGATTGTTTGGGGGCAACTACAGCAATGGAGGGTGATAGTGAGCAATGTGGGGAGAATGTGAAAGAGGATATGGAAGATAATCACCAAATTTGGAGAGAGATACAATTAGAGGGCCACCCAAAACTTCAAATAGATCCCTCAAAGAAAGAAAATAGACACCGATGGATGTCCTAAACAAACTCACGCCAACAACTGACTTCTGAATCATAATACAACATATATAGGAAAAGACTAAAAAAATGAAGGATAATAGGAAAGAAAGTATAAAAAGGCAAACAAGACTGTTTCAGCCCGTCTCTCATCTTTGTTCCCCTTTTGTGATTCCACGGAATGCAAAAGCATCACCTCATTTCACTTATATATGATGATATCTAATTTGAAGACTTTCAAAATGGTAGCAAAATATTAATAAAATTTTCTAGCTCAACTTAATGACACCCCAAAAGGAACAAAGAAGTTGGAGAATATAACACTAGTAAAGAAGTACACAGGTCTTTTTAAATGATTTGACAAGTGTGCCTCCAAGAAGAGATATAGATTTCACCATTGAATTGATTCAAGGTGTAGAACTAGTAAAAATGCAACTTATGGGATGAAAATCAAGGAGCTACAAGGACTAAAGAGTCAGTTGCAGGACTTGTTGAAAAAAAAGATTGATCATACCAAGTATCTTCCCATGAGGAGCCCCACCTTTTTTGTTAAGAAGAAAGGGAATTTAAGGTTATGTATTGATTATAAGAAAATAAAGAAGCTCACAATAAAAAATAAGTATTTGTTGCCAAGGATTGATGATTTTTTTATCAATCGTATGGGAATTAATTGTTTTCAAATATTTATTTGTTCTCAAGTTATCATAAGCTAAGAATTAAATTAGAGGACATAATAAAGATAACCTTCAATACCATATATGGGCACTATGAGTTTGTGGTGATGCATTTTGGGTTATCAAATGCACTTTGCATTATGAATATAAGTTTTAAACCATTTTTTGATAGATCATTGTAATTAGCTTTATAGATGACATTCTAATCTCTTCTAATGATGACGCTCATCATGTAGATCATCATTGCATACTTATGCAGACCTTGAAGGAGAATTAGTTATTTGTGAAATTATCTAAGTGTGAATTATAGTTGAAGATTATAACTTCCTTGGGACTTGTCATTAACAGTTAAGGTACCTTAGTCGACCATAATAAGGTTAGAGCAATAGTTGATTGGCCTAGAGCTATTACAAGAGATTTGTTGGGTTTGGAAGGCTATTACAAGAGATTTGTTGAGGGGTTCCCTCAGATTGCAATGTCTTTGCTCAGATTGACTTGGAAGGCAGTGAGATTTGAGTAGACAAATTTTTGTGATAAAGCTTTTAAAAGTTGAAAAATATTTTTGATGATAACTCCAATATTGATGATCCCCTTAAAGTCGTAAGGGTTCAAGATTTATAATGATGCATCCCTTAGAATACTTGGATGTGTGCTTATGCAAAATATCAAGTTAATTGCATATACTTCTAGTCAAGTAAATAATCATGAGAAAAATTATCCTATGCATGATTTAGGGTTATCAAGAGTTGTACTTTCTTTGAAGAGTTGAAATCATTATTTATATGGAGTCAAGCGTGAAGTGTTCATAAATCACTAAAGCTTGAAGTATATTTTCAAACATAAAGAACTGAATTAAGACAAAGGCGATAATATGAGCTCATTAAAGACTAATTTGAGTATACAAATTCATCCAGGAAAAGCAAATATTGATGTGCATGCATTAAGCAGAAAGAATGGTGACAATGCTAATTTAGTTATTACACAACAAGAAGAACAAATTAAATATATAGAGTGTTTGTAGTTATCAGCAGTGGCTCCAAATGATGAAAATTTTGCACTATTGAAACATATGTTAATTTAGTTATCGATAGAGGACAAAATACAGGATAAATTATCGTAGGATACTAAATTCCATAAAAATTAGACCGAGTAAATGCATATCAAGTGGAGGAATGAGCTTGATGAAGAAAAATTATAGAGATACAAGAGTAGAAAATGCATTCATGATGTTAATGATTTATAAAAAAAAATCTTGCACACGACACATTAATTAGGAGATAAAAAACATATAAGAAGCAATAAGATGTATGATGAGCTCAAAAGTTTATTCTGATGGTCATGATTGAAGCACAATGTAACAGTTTTTGGAAATGGGCATTACTTATTAAATGGTTAAGACTGCACATCAAAAATCTAGTGGGTTATTGCAATTGTTTCCTATACCAAATAGAAAATAGGACATTGCTATGGATTTGTGGTTGAGCTACCAAGATCAAAGGTTGTGTTGTAGTATGGGTGATTATTGATCATATGATCAAGTATGCACGTTTTTTACCTATCAGCGAGTAAGTTGGTTGGTCATAATTTATATAAATGAAATTGTGTGACTAATTGAGCCCAAAGTCAACTGTATTAGATCAAAACAATAGATTCACAAATAGAGTATAGAAGAAAGTTCACGAGGCATTTGGTAAACAACTAACATTCACTAAAGTGTTTCATCTTAAAATAGATAGTCAGTCAGAAAGAACTATTCAAATATTAGAATACATGCTTAGACCGTGTTTTTATGTACTTGATTTTTATGAAAACTTGGAAATGCACATAGCTTCCATTATGTTGTGTGTGTGTGAGTTTGCACGTGCATAATATTTAAATTTTAATAATTCCTTTTATACAACATTTCCATGTTATAATAAAATTAATGCATAAACATGAAAAGTTAAGTTTCATTTAAAAAATATAATATTAGATGTAATTTTTCTATTATGTTGAACAATGTCTTATCTTAATAAAAATTAATATATATGTGTTATATGATTGCATAAGAATTATGATATGAATTTGAATCCTTCCATTTTATTTACATTATGTATGGGATTATTTGGAATGATAAGAAGCTTGGGATGCCTTTAATCATGTTTTATTCAAGTTATGGTAAATTTGAAATCAAAATTCTTGGGGTTTGAACAACTTCAAATTGGGCTTATGAGTTGTGGAAGTTACGATATTCTAATGCTTAACATTATTTGATCAACTAGATTGATCAGACCATACACTGTATTATTTATAAGAAAAAAAATTGCATGATGGAGCCAGAAAATTATATTTATGGGAGCATAAATTATTAAATTCAAAAATATTCTCAATCATTTTCATCAAATATATATATAATAAGTTACATGCCTTGATAAAATTTCAATAGGAAAAAATGCATAAATAAAATATAAGTTTTGATTTATTAATTTATTTGATAATCTTCAAAAAAAAATTATTAAATTTGATGATTATATGCATTTTTTTTTTTTTTGCTAAAATTAAAATTAATCAAATATAATTAAATAATTAGATTAAAATATCAAAACTAATTAGAATAAAAATCTATGAAAAACTTTATGCCGATAAGATGTAAATATTTAACATCTTAATATTGCGATATTTTATTAAAAATTTAAGTAATTATCTTTATATTGTATGTATCATCCACAAATTTTAATGATTTTATATAAGTTTTTAAATCTAATAAAAATACTTATTTTAATATCATTAATGTGTTATATATCTAATACTGCTAATACAAATTTATCAAATTTAATATAATTATTATAAATTTATATCCTAAATAATAAAGATCACAAATAAGTTTTTTAAGATGCTCCATTAAAATTCAAAATCAACATAAAATTCACTAACAAAATGTAATTAAAAATATCATTTGATTTAATTAAAGTATGCTCAAGTTTTCGTTTAAAATAGACTAAATTTTTTACATTATTTAATAAAAAATTATAAATTAATTAAAAATAAAATACTTAAATTTAATATATTTTAAATATATTTTATATTAAGATTTTTTAAGTTGAATTTAGACTAACTTTAGCCTTTATTAGTTTGTCGAGCTCAATTCAAAAGCCAACCAAATTGAGCCGGCTCAAGAGTTAGCTTCTCACACCATCCATACACATCACACAATTATCATATATTTAATATCTAAATTTTAATTTGTATATTTATAACCCAACAATGTTATAAATTTAAGCAAAAAACTATTTATTTTAAACAGTATTTAATGAATTCAATACAGTGTAGTTACAGTTTACTCTTTTGACTAGTGCAGACAATTGATAGTACACAATTTCCTGACTTACATATTACCATTAGAAAATTTCTGGATCAAAATATTCTAACCAAAATTTAATTCAAAATGAATCTCAAAGTCACAGATGCCTTGAAATGTGTGCAATATACATACAATCAATAATTGAATGATGGCCTCAAAATCTGATCTCAAGCCACTAACATTTGATGAGGAAAACATCACAATCCCATTTATGTGCCCCTCTGAAGTCTAGAGGTGCAATCATTGACAAGCAAAACCGCAAGGCCATCATCTTAACGAAAAACCTTGCTCAGGCTCTAAAAGTCGGAACCTTGCTAAGGCAATAATCAATGCAATTAAAGCAATGGTATATTATAAATATTCGGAATTGCCTATAACATTCAAAGATGATTTGTATAAGAAAAAATTCCTATGTGCTCCTGATTAAATTACTGGCATGTGATGTGTACAAAGGACATTCTGCTTCTTACCTTTAAGCCCATGAACTGAAACCAAGGGGAGGATATGTAAATTGGTTCAATCATGTGACCTTATCAAAGTGGCTTGAGAGGTCAGAAATGTAACATTTCCAGATACTTCATCAAGAAAGTGCGCCGCTTTCATGTCAATTTTAGAAGAGGATTTGCAAATTGCCTGAAAATATCAGGGTAAGCACTCCATCAAGCATGTAATTTAGCATATTAGATGGTACAGAATAGTTAAAAAATCTGCTGAATAACAATCCATAAAATATATGCTCTTCGCCTTTAAGAAAAAAATTAGGGAGATTTACATTGAGTACAATTCTTATGTATTTACATATCTCACAAACTTTCAAATTTACATGCATAGCACATTCATGTTTTAAACCCATGCATGGAAAGATGCACTTCACTTTTAAAAAGTGGTAATATAAGAAAAAAATTAGGGAGATTTACATTGATTACAATTCTTATGTATTTACATATCTCATGTTTTAAACCCATGCGTGGAAAGATGCACTTCACTTTTAAAAAGTGGTAATAGTGCTACTTTTGATGTGATATTAAAGATTCGAGTGCTATATGCGTAAATGTGAAAGTTTATGGTTGACACATGTAAATTCATTAGAATTGTGTGGCATGCATGTAAATGCCCCGAAAAATTATGCTTTATTAAATAACCTTGGTGCTGCTGAGTTTGCTTTAGAAGATTTAAATGGGAAACCTAATACCAAAAATACCTTTAGAGGTTGCCAATACATTTCTTGTTATATATGGTGTCTGAGTTTGTTTTAAATTGATAAAAGATGTAAGAAACCTAATACGGTAAACATTTCTACACTTATGCTTCATGTATGTTACAGACCCAACTCAACCTGGTCAGATCAAAATACAGTTTGGACAGGAAGTAACATTAAGCCAAAGTGATGCAGGATAAATCATATACGCGTGAACTGGATTGCTCGGTTTTTTTGGGGCTGCTCTATTTTTTTCTATTATAAACTGTTAACATATAGTAGTTTAGTGTCCTTCTTAATTAAATGTTATCTTAATACATGATTAGTTAGTTGCTTAGGTATGTCTCCCACTACTGTATAGTCAGAGAACAGATTTTCATTTTTCCCTCTTTTTCCAATTGCCGAAGCAATAGAAATATTTTTCGTTTTTGTTTATTGTTTCTAACTAGTGACAATCTTGGTTTTCACCAAGTCCGTATCAGAGCGAGACAATGGTTAATGGAGGCAATCAATTAGTTAGGAGACCATTCAGGAATCTCAAACCAGGCTAGCACTAGTAGAGAAGCCTGCGCTGGAGTTTCAACAATGCATGGTGGAAGTGCAGCAAGAGTTCCGTGCTATCAAAAATGGTCGAATCCTTTATCAACAACTACACTAGTTGATCTGGCAACCCCACACCAGCGATAGGTGATTCCAATGCAATGAGCAAGAACAAAGGCAAACCCAATGCCTTGATCCACTGGCATACTCTGAACTTCCCGAGTTCGATGAGAAAAGAGTTCCTCGTTGAGGAAGCCTATACACCAACTCAGATTCGGGTGAAGATTCTGTGATATTTTAACCTACCCACCAATGACGACAACTATAGTTATTTCAAGATAAAACTTGGCATTCCCTTCTTCAATGTCATCTTCTCATTGAGGATTATCTTGGATTGAGAGCAAGAAGTTGAGTCATTCATCGATTACATAGACAACCTGCCAAAGAAGCGTCTTATGTGGTTTGCAAGTTGATCTGAGGTTCTAGAGCATGGTGGCTTCAATTGTCACAAACTCATCAGAAGAAGCAGATGTTGTGCAATCACTTCCTTCCGACTTTGAGAAAATGCATTATCTACAATATCAGTGGTGTACACAAGATAATCGTTCTATTAAGATCTACACCAATTTTTTATAGAGTCAGTGCTGGAAAAAATTTGTACAAATCGAATAAACAATTAGTTGGACATTATATAGGTGGGTGTTAGCAGATATGAAAGGAAAAAAAAAAGAAAGAGATAGAAACACAAAATCTCATACACATAAAAAGAACATAAGAAAATTTATGGGGTTTGGCATTTTGCTCAAGTCCATGGCAACACTAGGATCTCACTATATTTTTCTCTTATAAGAAGCTTATGAGAAAATACAACTAGTTAGGATATTCACCGATTGATTCCCTCCCCTTTTATAGGCTAAGCTAGAAGGGTAGGTATAGAGGAGAAATAATTTTAATTGGCCATCTAGCCATCAAATTTGAATTTTAAGGGTGAAATCATTCAAATTCGGTGGCTTCCAAATTTTGACAAAAAATAAAAACATGTAAAATTTGACTCCACAATTAAAAATCTCCCACTTGAAGTCAAACCCTCATTTTTTTAATACAGTAAATGCCATGCCTGAATGCTTCTATAGTTGTGCTCCTTCATGTGAATCCACTAATGTCCGAATGCGGCGCCTCCATTATCATGATTTACGGAGGCCAATTAAGACCATACAAAACCTTAGTATTGAGATTGTGACTACCTTAGTTTTGAGATTGTCACTACCTTAGTTAGCATGCCTGCAGGATTTTTTGTTCCATGAATCTTCTCTTACCGTAGGCTTTCATCATCAACCAACCCTATGATGTGATGATATTGTAGTTGTATGTGTTTTGTTTTTGTATGAAAAACTGGATTCTTTGCTAGGTGTATGACGCTTTTACTGTCACTGAAGAAAGAGTTCATGCTTTGCTTTTCTAATGTCCTAAATTTTTTAGGCAAGTCATCTCATTGCCCGCTCTGACTCTAACGTATACTCAGCTTCAGTGATGGATAACAAGACACACTTCTACAGTCTGGACATCCAATTAAATGAAGTTCCCCCAAACGAGAACGCGTAGCTTGAAATACTCTTGTGACCATCTAAATCCCCTACCAAATTTGCATCTGAATAGCCCTGCAAATGGTTGTATTTGAAATACCTTTCAAAAATCTTATGATCCACGTCACAACTTTGTAATGTTCCTCTTCTGGTAAGACATAACCCTTCTCACAACTCCCACTTCATGAGATATGTACAGTCTAGTACACACCATGGAGTACATCAAACTACTGACTGCATAAGTTTATGGTAGCTTGTTCATGTGCTCTTGCTCTTAATCAAACTTTCTCAACAACTTTTTAGATAGCTTGAAATGACCACCCAAGAAAGCCTCTCTGGGCTTTGGCATTTTGAGCATCAAATCGGTTTAGAACCTACCGAATTTGCTTCTCTTGGACAAATTCCAAAACCACTTTATATTTATCGTGGATAATCCTCATACCAAGTATTTGTTTTGTTGTTCCCAAGTCTTTCATTTCAAACCTTTTTATTGCTGATTTTTCAATTTATTGATCTTTGTTTGTGTGCTCCTGTAACTTGCATATTATCAACATAAAATAACAAAATAATGTGAGGCTTGTCAAACCTCTCAATGAAGCAACAATGGTTCATCACATATCTAATGAACCCATTTGTATAAAAAAAAAAATTTCAAAATTTTTGTACCATTACCTTGGTGATTGTTTCAACCCATATAGACTCTTCAGAAGCTTGCACACTAAATTTTCTTTTCCTAGAACAACAAACCTTTAGCTTATTCCATATAGATCTCTTTCTTAAAATCTCTATGAAGAAATGCAATCTTAACAACTAGTTGTTCCAAATGTAACTCTTCAGCCGCAACAATGCTTAAGACTATCCTAATAATAATCATCTTTACCACTAATGAAAGCACCTCTATGTAGTCAATCCCACATAGTTGTTGAAATTCTTTAACCCCAATCTAGCCTTACATTGTTTGCTCCAATCAGACTCTTCTTTTACTTTATACACCCACTTATTCTGTAAAAATTTTTTGCCTTCAAGTGATAGTTCTAGCGTTCAAGTTTTGTTCTTCTCTAAAGAGATCATCTCCTCTTTGATGGCTCTCCCACTGGATCGAATCTCCAGCCTGCAATGCTTTCAAGTAGTGTTTTGGTTCTCCATTATCTATCAATAATAAATCATATAAAGATGGAGAATACCTTTGTGTTGGTATAGGTTATCTGGTAGACCTTCTCAATAGTATTTGACTTGTGAAGGAGCTTCTATATCAATGCTAGGATTTTTTAAAGTTGAATTATCAAAGATGACTTCTTCGTAATTTTCCTCATGCCTTTTACTTATTTTTTATTTCTCCTTAAATAGTCTTTGCTCATCGAATGTCACATCTTTAACTCTTATGACTTTTTTATTGTCATTCCAAAATCAAAAACAAAAATAATAAAGTAATAAGAGAGCAATAGCCAATGAAGTAATGCTGCTTCGCTTTTGCATCAAGCTTATCCCTGAATTCATAATTAACACGCACATAGGAAATGAAATCAAAAACTTTTAGATATGAAAGTCATATCTTCTTTCCACTCCACTCATCATCAAGATTTTAAAACCCAAAGAGACTGATAGTCATCTATTACTTAAATAAATTAGTGCATTTGTTGATTCATTTTTAGCGATGTTTTGTTTTGAAGTTCCTGGAACAGTCTTCAGCATGCGGATTCCATGTTATGAGCAATAAGCTTGAAATTCATTACTATCATACTCGCCACTATTATCAAACTTCACACACCTCACTTTCAGACCTGTTTGAGTCTTCACTTCTGTCTTCTACTTCCTGAATATAGCAAACATATCAGATTTATTTATAAAAAAAACTCAAATAATTTTTGTTGAGTCATCAATAAATGTGATGTAGTACAATGAGCCACCAAGGGATTGGATTGGATCGGAGTTGATCCCGAGACATCAGAGAGCATCAATTCCAGTTTTTCAAGTTTAGAAGTTCTTGAATTTTTCAAGAAATTGACCTTCCTCTACTTGCCAAGAGCACTATTCTCGCACAACTCCAAGTTATCGACTATAGATTTGGAAAGTTCCCATTGATGACATGATCTTCATTCCCTTCTTGCTCGTGTAAAAAATTCATTCATGCCATAGTCAAAGCAATTGTCAATAGGTCTTTATCTTCTGAGGTCTTCTATAATGTTCTCCTTTTTGTCACTACCGCGACCAATGTTCCTTTCAATACATTTCAAGATCCACCACCAAACACTATGGTGTATCCACAGCTGTCGATCTGGTCCATTGATATCAAGTTTTTTGTTAGGCATGGG